TTTTTTTTTTTTTTTTTTGTGGGTGGAATTATTTATGCTACACATTTTGTGCGGCAGTATCTCTGTTGTTGCCATAGTTGTTGTTGTTATTGTTGCCTTCAACTAAGACAATTTATTATTTTCCAATTTATTTGCATTTGTCTAGACGCGACTAGATAGACAGCATGATTTATTAGAGCTGCCTACATCTGCTCAACGTCTGCAAACTATCTAAGAGTGAACCATAAACTAAACTAAATGCCGATCGACTTAAAAGATATTCATAAGCAAATGTAATGTAAATGTGTATAATGCAAAAATTATTCACTCAAATTCATAGTAAAGTCTAACAAAGCCCCAATATTCTTTGATGATTGTATAAGTCTTCATGAATCAAGTAAAGTATTTAATTCTGGAATTCTTGAAATTCTCCGATAGAATTTCTTCGCTAAGTTTTAAGTTTTGCCATTGCAAGAAACAACATTTCCATTTCTTGTACTTTATTTTCTCTTTATGACACAGCAGGAATATTGTTTTGCTAACCTATTTGAGGTATTCAGTGCTGATGTTTGGTCGCTTGACACCCATTATTTACCTACATATTCAGTTTGAGCATTGTTATTGCTGTTGTTGTTGTAACTTTGCGTGACACTAGACATTGGTCAGTTTTAGCATTGGCAATAGACTCACCCACACACACACACAACCAGGCACCGTTTGTGTTAGCTGAACGCATTTCACAATTTAAGAATACACACACCCACACACACAGACAGACAGACGCGGCATGCACGTGTTGCCAAATGTGTATGCATGTGTGTGTGTGTGTGTGTGTGTTGCGTGTGCTTCTATGTATTTTGGATGATTTCATTCATGTATATTCCTTGCATCGTACGTTACTTTCGTTTATGTGAAAATTAAAACTGGATATACGGCGTATGAGTAATATCGTGACAGACCACAACTGCCAAATGGTCAAAGGGTCTAGTCCAAACGGTTAAAGGGTCTAGTCTAGTTAAGCTCTAGATCCCAATAAAATATACTAGAGCTGAGAGGCAGACAATTGTGGTAGCAAAAATAACAATCTGTCTGCGCTGTTGTCTTTCGACCTGAATCTGAATCAATTTTATACTACGAAATAGGTAAATTCGCTTGCTGGCAGCCCACGCCACGCCTTAGTCCTGACAAGCAGAAACTAGCTGTAGGGCAATGGACAAACCAAAATAAAATAAAAGTAAATATAAAAAACAGGAATAACGACTCAACCAAGTATCTAACTAACTTTTGACAGTCGAAATGGCGCTGCTCCGCACATCTTTGCTGCTTAACGAATTTGCTGTTGTTGTTGTTGTTTTTATTTGTTACTTTATTTTGAATGTGTATTATTTATTTTTGTATTTTGATTTTTGTAGACAATTTAACGCCGATTACAGCATTTGCGAGCGAAGGAGAATTTGTTGCCTTTCCTGGATTTTCATAGGCAAACTCACACTCGCACACACACAGCACAACGCACACTGAATCGAGACGAGAAGCGCGAACGCTAGGCCCTGACGTGCCTCTCGGAGTGTTTGTCCAAAACTGAGGCGACGACCCGACTCCGCCACAGGACTCGCCGCCTCACAACACATGTGTAGGTGTCTAAATGTGAGAGTGTGTGTTTGTGGGTGGCGTCAGCTACGCGTAGCCGACTTGAGCAGCGCTGCAGACGTCGACGCTAGCGTCACCAATGCGACTCTTCAGCGCATTGAGAGCATCCAAAGGATTCGCATATGCGCACTTCGCGCAACCATTGAAAATGTGAGAAATACTCGTTGGCAAAAATAATGATTCGTTGGTTGGCTGCCAGTTGGTGCCATTGAGCACTGCTTGCTACATATGTTTATAAATTTTAAAAAATATATATGCA